GCTCATCAAAGGAGGAATTTAGGTGGATAACCTTGTAAACCTCAGAAGCACTGTGCCTTCATATTGACTCTCACAAAGACTGGGTAGAAGGAGTCTGTTTATCTTGCTGTCCATGCACTTAGAGCAGTGTGCCAGGCCTTTCAAAGGAGCCCAGACTGAAAAGGCGCACATAAGATCTGCAGAGGTCGATGGTGTTTGATAGCTGGGATGCCATGGAAGATTTCACATTCTTCAGTTCTAATCTCTTATAACAAAATGGAATTCAAACCTAACCCCTGAAAAAATAAGTCAGGTCTGGTTAGTGTGATGCCATGTCCCATGTATCCACCAGGATTTGTTTTTGGTGGATTAGTGCTCTCATTTACGTGTTTTCTTCTTGGTCAGCAGTGTTATTGTTTTAGCTGATACTTTCAAAAGGTGTTTATTTTTGCTGCTAATCTAAGATGAGCCCTGTAATTATCTGTGAAATAGAAGCAATTCCTTTCTGTAGCTGTGATGCTCTCTGGAGGCAGTGCCTGATGCTTTCTGTTTTCTAACATGCCTTTTTCCATGGCTATTTTCAAAAGAGTTGCATCACATTTCAACTGCCTTGGTCCTTTGTTGACGTGTTTTACCAAAAATACCTCAGACAAAAAGCAAAGACTTTTTGTCTCCTAGATGGATTAAGTACCATTCTAGTGTTTGTGATGAGAAGTATCTTTCTCTGCCTCAATATTTTTATTTAATGCAAGTTTTGTTGGGCATTTTACATGTTGGGCTGTAGCACAGAGTAAGACAGCTCCTTGAACTCACTAAGCAAAATAAATAAAATATTTTAACTTCCTCAGTTTCACACCTTTTCAAGTGGTAAAAGAATGGCTGGAATGAAGAGGGAAGAGGAATAACAGCCTTTCTACAGTTTTTAGCCCTTCTTCACCTTGTCCTCTGCTCTTTACGTCCCAAAAGTAACTTGGAGCTGCTGTGGCTATGCCACTGTTTTCTCACCTTTTTCTACATTTTCCCTGCTCTGACAGATGCTTTGCTATGTGCTCTACCATCATCTTTCAGGATGTAATACCTGTTTACCCTGCTCAGACCTTTTGGTTCCCTAACATTGCTTCAACCTTTTTTTCTTCCCTAGATTTCCTCTTCTTCTTCTTCTTCCTCTATTTTTGTTCACTTTCTCTCTCTTTCTTCCTGCCCCAGACCTGCTTCTAGGAGATAATTTCTGAGAGCTATTGCATTCACTCCTAGCCTCTGCCTGTTTATTCCTTGCTTCATGCAGCTTTTTACAGACTGGGTAACTGTTGATCATGTAGAGGTTAGGAAGAAGTTTTACTTCTATCTAGAGAGAGAGAGAGAGAGAGAGAGATAATAATTCAGGATTTTTTGTTATCTCTCTGTTATCTGATTCTGTATTTTTTTCTGAGATGGAACACTGCTCTAGGTGCCTCCTGGAGTTCCAACGGTATGGGAAATCTTTACTCTGCCCAAGCCTGGGTGAGTGTGGAGCAGTTGAGCCTGGATTGTGCAATATTCCTTGAAAGTGGAAGTCTGGATCTGGATTTCCAGGTTCAGTTTGGGCATTAACCTGGAAGGGACCCTAATCCATGAATGGCCAACATGAAGCCTTTCAAAGTATCTACTCAAGATGTTCCTGCAAATCTCTGTTTTCTGTCTATCTACACCTTCAGCCTTGCTCTGATGTCCCTGAACATGTCAGTGCTGACAGCTGGAGACCTGGCACTTGATGCAAACACAATGCTGTAGCGGGATTAAGATTATTTACAATAACTGGTTACTTGCTTTGTGTTTGAAGAAGATGGAAAATACACCAATGAAAATGTTGTTTGCAAACAGATCAAGAATAATCACAGTGCGTACTTCTGAAGACTGCAGTGAAACTTTTAAAAGAACAAGCCAGCTAACCAAAAAATCCCTGTGCTCCCCTACCCCCACCCTTCCTCCCCAAACATCATGGTCATAGCTTTTTTAAGGTGGGAGTAGAAAGGGGGTAAAAATAATCTTCGGTTTAGGATCACTATCAAAGTTTCAAATCTTTTGAATGCATTTGTACTGAGCCTATACAACTGCCCTGGTGGAGATCAATGAGTAGTTGATAATTAATAATGGCCTAAGATCTTCATGCATGCAAACAACCTCTGTATTTCTAAGGAGTCAGGGATACTCTGAACATCCTTCTCCTCACGTTCAGAGGCTGTGCCTTTCCACTACAGAAAAAGCCTCTTTGGAAGCAGTAATCAAGGTTTGCTTCTAGGCTATTCCAATTACCAGCAATATCCAGAAAGGAACTTGAATTTGTATTATTAATTCAACAACATCATTATGAATGAACTGCAGGAAACAATGCATCTTCTTCCTATGTAAACAGTGTAAATAAAATTTCTGATAAGCACTTTACTGCTTTGAATTCCTCATTCTTTCCTTTGAGAGCGTTCCAAAGTTTAGTGTGCAGCTTAATCAACTTCATACGTGCTTGAGTTGGGCAAGTCAAAACTAACATGACCCCGCACAAGAAAAAGCATCCCTCGCACGAGAAATCCCATTCTGCTTATTTACTATATATGAAAACAGCCCCAGCCATTCCTTCCCTGAGGCAACAGGAACTTTTCCATGTTTCCTTAACCACCGTCACCCTTCAGCACTTTTCAGGACGAAAGCCTTGTTCTCAGGATGACCTTGGCTGCGTGGTCATTAAAGCTGAGATGGAGCTGATGAAGCAAAATGACCAGAGCTCCAACTTTAATGTATTCAGCTGCAATATGGTGCTGCACCAACTGCAAAGTATGGTGCTGTTTAACCTCTCTTTTCTGTCAACTATTGATCACACTGAAATCCTTTGAATATGAAACTTTGGGCCCTGCTTTGGCAAAGAGCTGAGAGCAGGATTAGCTTCACCTGCAGGTTACCACCTTTAAATTAGCAAGGCTGTTAGCATGGGTTAAATAAATACATATGTAAGTTAATAATAATATTTTTTAATTAAAAAGATAGCAGTGTGTTGATACAGTGCTATGTGGGTGGCAAGGATTAAAGAATAGGCAGGGAGACAAGTAGTTTAGGTAGTGAATCAGATCTTCACTGAGTGGCAAAAATTCTGGAAAAAAACCACCTTTTTGGAAGCATTCGTATGCCAGGCCTATATTCAGGCCTTTTAAAATCAAAGTCCTTCTTCGTTCATGACACTTGGGTCTGGGTTGGAAATCATCCAAAGGATTTTGGGTCTGTGTTCTGGGATTCAATCTCTTTAAAAAAAGAAGTGTTTTGGGAGGGTAGGTGACCACTTCTGGAATGTGTTAATTTAAATCCTTTGTTATCTATAGACAGACATCACAGGGGTTACAGCAGTGCAAACCTCTCTTCATTTCAGGCCTTGTCACTGGATACTTTCTGCTTGGAGCAGGAGGGTAAGGAACACGGCGTGGAGACAGGTGTCTCCCAAGCTCTGGGGTCTGGGCACCCAGGTCCTGCTTTTGTTCCTGTTATCTCCAAATCAGGAGAGGCTGCCTGGGAGAGGTGACGGCTTAGCCCTGTGAGAAAGACCCACAGCTTTCTCTGGCTTCAGGACAGCAAGTCCTGTCTTTGCTTACTCATTATCTGTATAAAGGAAAAAGAAGCAATTATGACAGAATAAACATCTGAAACATCCTCTTGAGAGCAAAAGCTAAAACAAATGGGGAAAAAAAGTCTGCCGTGTAGCACTCCTTTGCTTAACTGAGCACAGGACCACAGACAGTGTGCAGTGCTGCCTAGAGGAGAGAAATACCTTGAAGCTGGCAGTTCACAGCACAGTCGGCAGATCATGAAGGCAGTGGATGATGTGCAAGTAAGGAAAAACTTCTCAAAAATCCGATAACTTCCCAGTTCATCTATAGTTAGGTTTTTTCTTTCCTGAGTACTGTACAGCATACCAAAGGGATTAACAGTTTAATCATAGCTGATTCATATATGGGGATCTGCATTTTATTTATTTATTTTGTTATCAGAAACTTCCTCTTAGAGACATGGGAAACTGAGGCACAGAGTGGTGAAATTACTTGTTTAAATGGTGCCTGCGGCAGGGGGAATAATAGAAGTGTGTTTCTCAATCTTACACCGTTTTATTACTCCTGTGCTGGTTTAACAGAGGAATTACAGCTCCTTGCATAACTCTGACTTTTCTGGCTGTAATGATATATGAGTACAACCCATTGCTCACATTTCCCTGATTTTTCTGACTGCAAAATGAGGTCTTTTACACTGCAGGTGAAAGTGCTGGAAAGGCTGATTAGCACTCTGTCATGTCCCTGGAGCTTCTGGTACCTGTAAGAAGTTACATGGTGATTAAAGCCAATGCATCTGCCCAACACTTTGCAAAGGCACGGTGGTTCTGCAGGTTCGCTCCCCTGGTCCCAAGCAGCTTAACCGTGAAAACAGGATATGGTAAAGCGGGCCGGACCCGATGCGCTGCTTTGTTGGAGTCTGCTGTCATTAATCTCCGTCTTTATGAATGGTGGGGAAGTGGCAGCTGTACACAAGGATAAACAGCCGTCCCAGCAGAGATGCTTTGAACTGCTCTGCTCCTTTGGGGAAGAGATTTGAGATAAAGCCGAATCTGGAAAGCATCAGTGGTGGTGCACCAAGAGCCGCTGATCACCCCCGCCGCTCCGGACCTTTCCACCACTTTCCGTCCCCCTCACCCTGGGGCAGGCACCCTTCTCCCCCTTTTCCCTGCCTTGCCCGCAGCCGGGGGGTCGGGAGTGGAGCGTGGCTTTGAGGGGCTGTGTGTTGATATCCCCTCACTCCCGCCGTACATCTGCCGCGACCCTGACACATCTGGCCGCCGCCCCGCCGCGGGGCAGCATCTGCCGGCACATCTGGGCGCGCGCGGCCCCTCCCCGCGGGCACATCTGTCGGCGGCGGGGGGCGGCCCCGCGGCGGGGCGGGAGGAGCGCGGGTCGGCGCAGCCCCGCCGCCGGCCGGGGCGGGCAGAGCCGGCGCGGCGCGGAGGGGAGCGACGGCCCGATGGGGCGGCCGGCCGGCAGCCTGGCCCCGCTCCGGCTGCTGCTGCTCCTGGCGCTGGGACACGCCTGGACCTACCGGGAGGAGCCGCAGGACGGCGACAGGTGGGTGTTGCGATAGCGAGGCTGCTTCTGTGCGGGTCCTCCCCATCTACCACCTTCTTTTTCTTTTTTTCCTACCTTGTGGAGTTTTTTTAATACTCCGACTCCCCGCCTTGCAGGGAGGTTTGCTCCGAGAACAAAATCGCCACCACCCGGTACCCCTGCCTGAAGCCCACGGGAGAGCTCACCACCTGCTTCAGGTGAGCGCCGCAGTCGCGGAGGACGCGGGGCAGAGGGGGCGCGGGGCTCACGCGTGTCCGTGGCTGGGGACTCGCTGCCCGCGGGGAAGGCGGGGGGGACACACGCGTGTGGGTGTCAGAGGCAGGGACGGCAGCTGTGCCAGCTGTTTGTCTCCCCCCTGCTCTGTGCTAGCCCACGCCGGCGTTCCCACGACCCCGTGGACCGCGAGCAGGTAACTTGGTCACATCCCTCCCGCGTTCCGCATCTCCCCTGGCAAGTCCTGCGGCTGTCCCAGGGAAGGGTTTCCGTAACTCGCTGCAAACGTCACATCTGAGACATCGCTGGAGAGAGAGGGCGCGTGTGGTTCTCGTTGCTGTACCGAAGCCACAGACAGTTTTTGATACGGTGAGAGAGGCTTCCTCTGACCTGGGTGTCCGGGACCACATGGGAGCTATAGCTGCATCAGTTACAGGATAATCAGCGAGATCGTCTGGATTTGTGCTACGCAAAACATATCTGAAGTTAGGCAGATGAATCACTCTCAGAATTGGTAACTTCTTCAGCAACCAGCGATGGGGGAGAAATGTGGCAGAGGCCTCTGAAATTAAGTAAGATGAATCTAACCACGAGTTTTCATTTTTCAGCTATGCGTTTGAGAAACATAATCTATTTAAGGATGATAGCTGTCCAGAGCTGTCAGTAACTGACAGCAGATGAGCTTTTTTGAAGAGCTGTACACAAAGTATGAGCACACACCTATCCCTTCACTGATGCCCTCAGGTTAGCCTCATCCCCACAGATGAGATGTTTCATCTATGAAAGCTGCTTCTTATGAGAGGCTGCTTTGTGGAGGCAACTGTGCTCTGCCTGTTTGTGTGGGCTTGCATGTGACAAGGAGCCCCTTCTGTACACCAAAAATACAGTAACACATGTAGAAAGTGTTACAGAGAGTGTCCATCTCTTCAGAGAGTGTCTATCTCTTCTGTTTGGCATTAGTTCCAAGGAGCTGTAGACAAACATTGCAGCAGTGCTGTCCCTCTCCCATGCTCTCGGGCTTGTTCATGCCCTCTGGCAGCCATGGACACCTGGGACAGTGTCCTGCCACTGCCCAGTTCTTAGGAGCATTAGCTTCCCCCCAGTGCCTGGGAAGGGCTGTGCAGGGAATGGAGACCACCCTTCCCTGCATCCCTTATCTTCTCTCTCTCCTCTCTCTGTGAAGGTGAGGCAGAGCCCTCTTACAAGCAGCTCTGTAGCACCCAGTGGCAGCACATTTTGGAGAGGGACACTGTGAAGGTTTTACAGGTTCTTGGTTGAAGCTGCAGCATTTCTCTGGTTTTGGGGGCAGAGCACTGGGGTGGACAAGACAGTTCTGAGTGGGGAGTTACTGATTGAAGAAGCCAGAGTGGGAGCTGCATAAGGCAGCACACACATGACCATCCTGCTCCTTTGTACGTGTCCCAAAATCCGTCTGAGGAAAGTGATTCTGCTTTGTGTGTGACAGAGGAGGACTACACAGGCTCCACTGGCAGCTATGGACCACTGTGCAAAGAAAGCAGGACTCTGTCCAGCTGCCAATTCCTACTTCTTTCATCCTTCCTGAGGTATTTCTGACCTTTGGGCTCTGGTTGTGACAGGCCTCCCTCCCCAGCTCTCCCTCTGCACAATCCCAAGTGATATTCACTGTCCCAAATCAGCACAGTCTGTGTGGATGAGAATTTGGAAGTTGCTGCATTGACTTCTTGGTTGTTTTAGTTCAAGCACTTTCTGTATCTATGACTTCCAAGTCTCCCTTCCTCTAAAAGAGAAAAAAAATCCATTTCTGTGTAATCATGTATTTTTAAGGTTTAACCTTTAGGCTTGGGTGAGGGCTCCATTCCTCATCCTGCAAGGTCTCCTTCATGACATATGCACAAGAGCAGGAGAGCAACTCTGAGAGGGAGCAGCTCTGCACCGAGCACAGACCTGAGCTGGCAGTCCTGCCCCTCGGAGCTGTGGCGTGCCCTGGCAAGGACCTGCAGCATCACCCACTCCAGGTGGTGAACCCCAGGGGCACCCCACTGCTCCTGGTAGCAAGGTGTGCTCTCAGCAGGCACGTGGGATAACCCTTGGCAGAACACATTTTAATGTAAGATTCATTAATACTTTGAGGTTGAGGCTGTTAACAAGACAACAGGAAACTGGCATGTGTTGACTAATCCTGTGGTGCCTCAAGGCGGATTTTGTTTCATAGGACATTCAGGAGCTTAAGGATTCAGTTTTCATCTCTGGAATGACAACCAACTCTTAAAGAACTTCAGCTTGGTAGAAACTCAGCTGTGGGATTTAGGAACTTTCACTCCAGGTTTCAGATAAACTTGATTTTGCTGTTCTATAGTTTATTGTTACGACACTTCATTTTTTATCTTCCTACACATCTTTATCACAGTATTTCATAATGACAGTAGTTATGTAATTTATATACACTGTTAGAGGTAGATAAAGGGATAGTCAATGTCAGCTTCTATTTACTATTAGCAGACACACCTAACTTCTTTTATAGGTCAAAGTACCATTTGTGTAGAAATTATATAAACTGACATAAAATTTATCATAACACATCAGGCATAAGGCAACTTGCACCACTACTGATGATTTGTTGTGAAATTAGTTAAATAAAATAAGGAATACATATGAAGCTAGATATCAAAATTCCTGACCAAATGCTTGATAGAAAGTAATACCATCCTTTTATTCCTCCTGCTGGAATTTGTCATGAAAATCAGCATGTTTTTAGAGCACTTCAATAAAAATAACATCTTTTCATCACAAAAAATATTTCTTGATTTTATTTTTTTTAACCATATTTACTTATGATTAAAGATGATCCAAGTGGAGGACCAAGCCAGAAGTGGGGCCAAGCACTGAGATTATACTGGCATTTTTCCCTGTGGTCATAGCAACCATGTACACAATCAGACGTATTTTTTTACTTTTGAATGTGTGCAGTCTGGCCCTTGGTTTAGTTTGATTTGTGATTTTTTTTATATGTCCTCTGTATTTGTTTTCACAAGAGTACAAAAGAACAGATGCAAAAAGGAGAGGGAGCTTATACAAAATCTTTTCTGCGGAAATCTCATTTAAACTTTTGTATGTAACCGCACAAAGTACCCAGTACTGATGTCCCCATCAGGTAGGTATGGAGAGGAATTTCTGCAGATTTATTGATAGCAGTATGGTCCAATAAGACTTTGAATTCCTACTGTATGCCAAATTAATCAAATTTTAGGAAATTTGGGCAGCATGAGAATATGAAGCCCCACTGCCTTGTTACTGTCTTCTCCAGTTTGGATGTGATGTTAACCTGTTTCACTCTCATACAGACTTTGTTGGCATAAAAAATTACACAAATGTTGCATTTTTCTCCAGTGCCTGTGACAATTCAGTTTGTGCATCCTTGCAGTAGTCCTTTTCATTACAGTCCTTCGTTCATTTCCATTTTAAACAGTGCTCCTGTATGTTTTTGCTCTGGTCCAGAAGGAAAAGCAGCATCTGGGGCAGGTATTTCCTTGCTTCGTCCTGAGTGTGGACCTGTGTTCCCATAACGGAGTGGTAGTGGTTATGTCACTTCCAAATTCAGGAGGATCAACATCTAATCTGGTACAATTTATTAATTGCAGTTTCTCCCTTCTTAAAAACCAACAAGCGTGATTGCCACAGTAACTGTTGTATATTAGGAGAGCTAAATATTTTACTCAGTTAGAATTCAGAGAGTGTAGTGAATTATTCAGAATTATTCAATATGTGTACTTAGAAACATTTTCTAGTGGGAAGCTGTTAGAAGCTGTAGGAAGACTCAAGCATGAAATGTGGGAAAACAAGAATATTTTTATTGCCTGACTATGCCCATCTCTTTGCCTACTAGACACTTAAATATTGTTGTAAGTTGACATGAAAGAAATAATCTTGCTCAGAAAAGATTTTCTCCTCAGAAAATTTTTATAAAATGTTAGATTAAGGAAACCAACAGCCGTAAATCGGGGAGGTGAAAATTTGAACCTGGATCTGCACATCTGGGACAAACACTTTACCCATTGCCTTCATGGGCGAAGGGAAGATTTGGGGTTTCTTTTTCTTTTATTCAGATGAAACTGTTAGTCTAAATTGGTTGACAAAACTGATTATTTTTAAAACAAATACACTATTGATATAGTAAGAGAAATTATCCATCTTTCTCTGGCGTCATTGTAAGTAGTCTCCTACATTTTTTGCTGAAAATGAGGCATGCAAGGACAGGTTATACCCTAATTTTGTGTATATAGTGATGGAGACATCCTGGTCCTTCCTTCTGCAGACCAGCAAGGAGTAAACAGTTAAAATAAGGGTGCTGGGCACAATTCTAGCTAATGATGGTGAAATCTTTGTAAAGATGAGCCAACTCTTTATATATATCTCCAAGCTCCATGTTGAGGAACTTAAATCTTGGCTAAGAACTTAATCTGTAACTTTTTTTTAGTATTTTGCAAGCAAGGTCTTTTAAATGGGGCTAACACATTTCAGTGTAGGTTGTCAGCTTTTTCATCTGATAGTTAGCAGCTACAAGTATATTGCATAAGTCCTTCCAGCACTTCAGGTTTTAAATTATGCTGTAAAAAATTGTTCTACACTTCCTAAAAAAAAGACAATTCAAATGTATTGTGAAAGAGAATGCATATATATTTATACCCTACTTTGTTCTGATGCTAAACAGAGATCACAAGCATTTCTTTTTACCCTCTTCAATGCTGATACTGCTGGTGAAGCCTACTATTTTTTATAGACTATATAATTTTGCACATTCTTAAAAGATAAAAGTAATTGCAAAGAAGTTGGATTGTAGCTGTTTCACAAAGAGCAGCACTTTCACTAATATGCCCTTGGGGACCATATGCAATTCCTGGTTCCCAGATACTCAGCAAGCATGTAGCAGAGCTTTCCAACATGAGAAAAAATTGCTGTATATAGTTTTGGAGCTTTCAGCTGGAGCAAGCAGGGATAATCTTTG